AATGTTCATAAATCCCAATATTAAGATGCCCTACTTAGACCTGTAAAATGGGGGAAATGGGAATTCACAAAGCTTAAGTTAATCAAAAGAGAAAGAGAAGGTGAAAAAACATGAATTTTTACAGTTTTTACTTCAGGAAGCCAACATATAGTAACACATATAAGTAAAAATATGAGAAAATAAAAATATGAGAGAGGGCCTGAGCCCACACTGGTCCTTAGGTGGCTCCGCCACTGCCCAGCGGGGTTTCAAACTGAAATGCATGAAGAAGACGAGCAAGAATGAGGTAGCCGGCTACAGTGCAATCTTCCAGAGCTTCTCTTGGTCCCAAGAGGTGCCCTGCTGGGTATAAACGCAGCGTTTCCTTGATGATGGCTTGAAGATATACCAAGTTTTTAATGTCGGATTCGTCAAACTTGATTTTCTGTTCCAACTAAAAACAATAGTAAAAGAAGAAGAAGTAGAGAGAACTGTGGTGAAAATATTCTCCATCGGTGCAATGAAATCAACATATATTCATAATTCCATATGCATGCATAGGGCGTTGATAATGCAGCCATTATCAACCTCGCATGAAAAACTACACATTTAGGGCCCTTTGATAACCATTTCAGTTTTCAGTCTTTAGTTTTTAATTTCTATGTTTCAGTTTTCATTTTTTAAAAATTAAAAATTAAAAACTTATTTGGTAACTAATTTCAATTTTCCAAACAAGTGAAAACTGAAAACTGAACAAAAGTTGTTTGGTAACTGATTCAGTTTTATGTGGAACTTGAAAATAGAATTTTTGAGGGTCAAATTGTGAATTTCATATCGTGGAATGAAAGTGCATGTTACAAAGAGTTTGTAGTATTTTTCAGTGAATTTTTTGGATTTAGGATGATTTTTTGGTGAATTTTGGATTTGGAGGTTCCGAGGCTTGGATTGGGTATGTTGCCGAACTCAAGAATTGAGCGACTGGGTCCAAGTCGGGAGGTCCCAAATATTGAGTTTTGGTAATTAGAGTGCATTTCATGTGTGGTGATGTTAAAATAGTGAATAAAAAAGGAGAAGAAAAAAATGAAAAAGAAAACTAAAAACTAAAAACACTTTCAAATTATTTTTAAAAATAAGGGTGATTTTGAGAACTAGATTTCACTTTTTCGTAAATTGAAAATGAAATCTGTTACCAAACATGTTTTCAGTTTTCAATTTAAAAAAAAAGTGAAAAGGTTATCAAACAACCCCTTAGGGCCCGTTTGGTAACCATTTCAGTTTTTAGTTTTCAATTTCTAGTTTTCAGTTTTTCATTTTTTAAAAATTAAAAATTGAAAACTTGTTTGGAAACTAATTGCAGTTTTAAAAAAAAGTAAAAAGTGAAAACGAAATAAAAGTTGTTTGGTAACTGATTTCAATTTTCAGTTTTATGTGGAACTCGAAAATGGATTTTTTTGGGGTCAAATTGTGAATTTCATATTGTAGAATGAAAGTGCATGTTACAAAGAGTTTATAGAATTTTTTGGTGAATTATGGATTTGGAGGTTCCAAGGCTTGGATTAGGTCTGTTTTCGAATGCAAAAATCGAGAGGCTGAGTCCAAGTCGGGAGGTCCCAAATACTGAGTTCTGATAACTAGAGTACATTTCATGTGTGGTGGTGTAAAAATAGTGAATGAAAAAGGAGAACAAAAAAAATAAAAACGAAAATGAAAAATGAAAACACTTTCACATTGTTTTAAAAAATACGGGTGATTTTGAAAACTAGATTTCAAATTTTTTTAAACTGAAAATGAAACATGTTTTCAATTTTTCAGTTTTCAAAAAAAGTGAAAATGAAAAATGAAAAACTGAAAATGAATGGCCCGTTTGATAACCATTTCAATTTTTGTTTTTTGTGCTAGAGTGTAGAGGAAAATGAAAGTGAGGATGAGACTGAGGATGAGATTGAGAGAGGGGATGAGAGGAAGGAGCAAGAAAAGTGAAAACAAAAACTTGAAAATTGAAATCAGTTACCAAACAACTTTATATCTCCAATGGGCGGGGTTACCTTGTTATTAGTTTGTATCCAGAAGCCTCACACATATCAACTGGTTAATCATCTTTTGTTTCAATTTCAAACCCAAAGTAAGTTGCATGACTTGAAGAGCGAGAGAGATTCCTGGTCATATCATTGTAGTTGTTATGATGGAAGTTTGAATGAAATTCAAGAACATTTGTCCCACATTGGTAGAAAGAAGAAAGAGTGAGGTCTTTATAAGTGTGGAAGTCCCACACTTAGTAAATGAAAGTTGAGCCAAGTGGAAGCCAATTGAGCTTCAAAATCGATTTGGGCTTTAAATATTATATATAAATAATAAATAATATTTAATTGTAAAAAAGATGGGCCTTTCATATTTAAATTAATTTTTTAGTTTCAAATTAATAATTTTTTATTAATTCGGATTAGTTTAAATAACTGTTTTCTAACAGTTGTGACTCTTTTGATAAGGTTTCAGACATTTATTTAAATCAAACAAAGCCTCATTTGTTTAATACAGAAAAAGCATTCTACACGCATTTCACAATGTCTGAGAGGAAAACAAACAAAGTTCGTCAGATTCTAAGTCCTAGTGCTAGGGCTTATAATACAGATAGTTGAATCCTGGGAGGCAGTCACCTGTAGAACTTCAAGCACCGAGAAGGGGTGAAATTACTGTCTTTAGGACATTGCATCAAATATGCAAGCCTCTATCTCGAATCCAAATCAGTTTCATTTGTTATTTGTTTACTGTATTCTGAATTACAGTTTCATATAAATACAATTTCGTTGATTTATATATATATATATATTGTTAATATATAATTATTTTATATAGTGTTGCATTCCTAAGAGGACACAAATTAATGTGCAAACAACCAATTAAAAATACCCACAAGTGCACGAATCTATTGAAGTATAGATTATGTAAGTACGTGGTCGATCCCACGAAGAACTTGTCGGCTTCCTATAAGTTCTAATTTGAGTACGTAAAGAACACTTAATTGACACACCACAAATGCACAAATGCAAAATGGAAACAAAAAATGAGTAAAGAAGTGTAAAAGAAATGAAACAACACAAGAAAACTAAACAAAAACACAAACAGCATTTTCTATCGACATTTTATCACCACTTTATCACCTGTGAACAGTGCCATGAACAGTGAACAGTGCGACCGGTCGTGAACAGTGACGACCGGTCGTTTTTGGACAGATTCATGTGAGACCGGTCGTCTGAACAGTAACGACCGGTCGTTTTTGGGCAGATTCGTTTCTCTGTTTTTCCAGTTTCGACCTCTGTCCAGTGTTTTGCCTATAACTTTCCAACCGTTTATCCAAATTTCATGTTCTTTATACGGTTGGATTCAGCACACAAAAACGAAGAACACAGCGTAGACCAAAAGTCCAAAACAATTATGGAAACAAATAAAATAAGTGACAAAGACACATAACGTGTCAAACACGCACACACACACACACACAGTTTTGGGGGGGGGGGG